CCCGCCACATCGCTCGGCTATTTTTGTTGTTGTTGCAGTTTGGCTGAGGCCGGGTTTGAACCTGCCACCCTCGGTATATGGGGCCGGCGCCCTACTCACTGAGCCACAGGTGCCACCCGTTTGTATTATTGTTAATGTCCTGTTTTCTAAATGAATACGTGAAAAGGCCCTTTCTTTTTCTCCTTAGGCTCTTTCAACCCTCAATTTAGCAGGCTCTGCTTTTGTAAACTAAATAACAGTTTTCAACAGTATCTGAATCTCACTGACCCTTCAGAATTCAAAACAAATACTTTTATTGAATGTGTTTAAACAATTTGTTCTCTTTTTTTAATCAACATAAATCAACTGTATAAAACAAGGCCATATTTGACAATGATTCCTTTTTACTTATTGACTGATTTTCTGTTTCTAGTATCTACAAAGCCCTCCCCTCAAAGTGGCCAGCTACATGGCTTGTAAGGTCCCAGTCTTACAAGGAGCAAAGGTCACTTATCAGCAGGCTAGGAACCTTAGCGAATCTGGAAAACCTTAAGATAAAGATAAATTCACTCAAATCTGTATGTACTCAAGGTGAAATATGGTAGAGAGAATTTCTAAGCTTTGGATCCCAGCCTCAAGACAGAGGAATAAATGACAGAGGCTTTAAAAAAGTACAAGTAAGATTCTTAGTTGTAGAGATTCATCACCTATATAGCTCATCGGCTAGGGCACCAGCCACATACACTGGAGATGGGAGGTTCAAATTCAGCCTGGGCCTGCTAAACAACAATGACAACCACAGCAACAAAATAGCTGGATGTTGTTGCAGGCACCTGTAGTCCCCGCTACTTGGGAGGCTGAGGCAAGAGAATTGCTTAAGCCTAAGAGTTTGAGCTTGCTATGAGCTGTGATGCCATAGCACTCCACTGAGGGCAACATAGTGAGACTCTGTTTAAAAAAAAAAAAAAGTACAACTGAGATACTTAAAAATTTTCAAGCTAACATTAATTAATACTCCAGGCTTAGAAGTTGCCTTCAGTGTATGCCTTTAAATTTGTAAGTCAAACCCAGAGGAGGCTTACATTGGTTGACTAATACTTGCTACAACTATATAGATAGCCAAACCAGATAGAAGGAAATAAGTCTTTTCTGTGAGCATGATTACTAGGCAAGGAAGATAAAGTTTAAAAAAATGATGCAGGCTTGGCGCCTGTGGCTCAAGTGGCTAAGGCGCCAGCCACATACACCTAAGGTGGCGGGTTCGAATCTAGCCCGGGCCCACCAAAACAACAATGACGGCTGCAACCAAAAAATAGCTGGGCATTGTGGTGGGTGCCTGTGGTCCCAGCTACTTGGGAGGCTGAGGTAGGAGACTTGCTTGAGCCCAGGAGTTGGAGGTTGCTATGAGCTGTGATGCCACGGCACTCTACCCAGGGGGACAGCTTGAGGCTCTGTGTCAAAAAAAAAAGATGCGATACTTGGAAAAGGGTAAATAACATTGTCTATACCCTCAAGAGGTTATGTGACCTATGGTAGGCAGCCTTGACTTACTTCCTACTCACTGTACTGCTTTACACTTTATAAGGGTAGAGATTAAATTATAAAAAACTTGTAGCAATACAAATGATTCTTGTCCATACCAATGCAAAGGAACTTTGTCCAGTAAAGAATATAAATCTCTTATAATTCGGTGGCACCTATACCTCAGTGGGTAAGGGCACTGGCCAGATACACTGAGGCTGGCGGGTTCAAACTGGGCCAGCTGAACAACGACAACTGCAACAAAAAAATAGCCGGGCATTATGGTAGGCACCTGTAGTCCCAACTACTAGGGAGGCTGAGGCAAGAGAATCTCTTAAGCCCAAGAGTGTGAGGTTGCTGTGAGCTATGATGCCAGGACACTCTGAGGGTGACAAAGTGAGACTCTGTCTCAAAAAATAACTGTCTTAAAAGGACATAAAAATCATTCTATTTCTTATAAATTAATTTGGATATTCATATCTGAATAAATAGATTTAATACTGTATGGATTTTTAACAGACATTTAAAACAACTAAGTGTTCAGACTTATCCTTCCTTTATTTTTCTGGGAGCCTGTCAAACTCATTAAGTACTCAAAGCAGGAGGCTAAAGAACAAGAAGTTGAAAACTAGATGTCAAATTTAGGTGGCTAGCTACATGCATATAATCGAGAGTTGACAGTGTATTTTATGTTCAAACTAGGAAAACAATAAAATTAAAATCTTACCTGTCTGTAGTATTTTTCATATACAGGATTCCCACTTGATAACTAAAATAAATAAATAAATAAATAGAAATTATATGCTATCCAATAACTTACATTAACATAGTTGGCATTCATTCATCAGATATTTGAGAAATAAAGATGAATAAGATAATCTCGATTTCAAGAAGTTTGGTTTTTTTTCTTCTTGGGAAGGGGCTGAGATAGAGAAATAAAAGGCAGGCACATATACTAAGAACCAAGTAGACAAGAAATATAATAAGAATCTTAAATTTATTTTTGACATCAGTCCTCTATTCCTTATCCAAAATTTTATCCCAAAACCTAACATATAACAAATTTAGGGTTAAATGCTTTTGTTAAAGTCCACTGAAAGGTCCAAAGCCTCCAGCACTCATCCTCTACCCAAGTACCCAATATACCTATGAATACAGTTCAAAAACCACTTTCATAAAATAATCTGATGAGTGTACAAATTGATACACAAAAACATGATAGTGTTATCATTAGATAAAAAATTGCATACAGGAAGGCAGTGCCATTAAATTCACAAACAATTCCTTGGGCCCAGGCACAGTGGCTCACACCTGTAATCCTAGCATTCTGGAAGACCAAGGCGGGTATACTGCCTGACCTCAGGAGTTCAAGACCAGCCTGAGCCAGAGCAAGACCTCCTCTCTAAAAAATAGCTGGACATCGTGGTAGGCAACGGTAGTCCCAGCTACTTGGGAGGCTGAGGCAAGAGAATCACTTGAGCCCAAGAGTTTGAGGTTGCTGTGAGCTATGATGCTAAGCACTCTACTGAGGGCAACAAAGTGAGACATTGTCTCAAATAAAAACAGAAAGCAAAAATACAAAGAGTTTCTTGGTCAGTTGACAAACTTAATACCTCTGAAAGGTAGCTAGGAATATTGATGTTTAAAGACTCGGGTTTGCCTGCATATGAATGTTTAAAAGTGTTCTAGAATCAGGACTGGGGATGACAGAGCAGGAACCTGAGGTATGAAGATGGGGAAAGAGGGTGATTCTACATAAAATAACAACATGCAATCAAAAGAAAGCTCAATTGTGTGGCAGGGCGCAGAGGCTCATACCTATAATCCTAGCACTCTGGGAGGCCGCACTGGAGCTCAGGAGTTTGAGGCCAGCCTGAGCAAGAGTAAGACCTTGTTTCTACTAAAAACAGAAAAATTACTCAGGCATTGTGATGGGTGCCTGTAGTCCCAGCTACTGGTGAGGCTGAGACAAGAGAATCGCTTGAATCCCGAAGAGTTTCAGGGTGCTGTGAGCTAGGCTGATGCCACGGCACTATAGTCTGGACAGCAGAGTAAGACTCTGCCTAAAAAAAAAGGAAAGGAAAGGAAAGGAAAGCTCAGTTACATTTTAAAAGGAGAGCTAGGCTCGCTGGTAGCTCAGCAGCTAGGGCGCCAGCCACATACACCAGGGCTGGCGGGTTTGAACCTAGCCCGAGCCTGCCAAACAATGACAATCACAACAAAAAATAGCCAGGTATTGTGGCAGGCCCCTGTAGTCCCAGCTACTTTGGAGGCTGAGGCAAGAGAATCACTTAAGTCCAAGAGTTTGAGGTTGCTGTGAGCGGTGACACCACAGCACTCTACCAAGGGTGACAATGAAAAACTGTCTCAAAAAAAAAGAAAAGAACAGCTAGGAGTTCTGAATGGTAAGAGAGATGGAAAATAAGATTATTAATAAGTTTTATAGAAGATAATTTACAAAGTACATCATCACTTTTTTTACTTGTAAAGTAAATGAAGATGGAGAATTGGTGCCCATAGCACAACAGCGCCAGCCACATACACCAAGGTTGGTGGGTTCAAACCCAGCCCGGGCCAGCTAAAGCAACAACGACAACTGCAACAACAACTGCAACAACAACAAAAAATAGCCAGGCCTCATGTTGGGCACCTATAGTCCCGGCTACTTGGGAGTCTGAGGAAAGAGAATTGGTTAAACCCAAGAGTTTGAGGTTGCTGTGAGCTGTGACACCATAGCACTCTACCCAGGGTGACATTGTGAGACTGTCTCAAAAAATATATATATGTGTGTGTACAATTCTGAGTAGTGTGATAAAATCTCATGCCATCCTGCCCAGGATGTGAACCATCGCTGTCTTTATGGTACACACCCTGTATATCAGGCGTCCTCAAACTATGGTCCGCAGGCCACATGCAGCCTGCTGAGGACATTTATCCAGCCTGCCAGGTGTTTCTGCCACCTCTGCCTGTCCTGCTTAGCAGCCAACTCATCCCAGGGCCGCAGTCTGGCCTCCAATGGTCTGAGGGACAGTGAACTGGCCCCCTGTTTAAAAAGTTTGAGGACCCCTGCTGTATATGCATTCATTAGTCACTTAGCAGCCGTCTCAGTTATCAGATAGATAGATTACAAAAAGAAGAACAGATACAATACAGTAAGATATTCTGAGAGAGAAAGACCATATCCATATAAGGTCCATGTATCTATATATGGACCATATCCATATCCACTTTTTTTTTTCAGACAGTCTCCAAGTCTACTTTGTTGCTCCTGGTAGAGTGCTGTGGCATCATAGTTCACAGCAACCTAAAACTCTTGGGCTTAAGCGATTCTCTTGCCTCAGCCTCCCAAGAAGCTGGAGCTACAGGCACTGCCACAACACCTGGCTATTTTTAGAGATGAGGTCTCACTCTAGCTCAGGCTGATCTCCCAGAGTGCTAGGATTATAGGCGTGAGTCGCTGCGCCCAGCCTCATATAACTTTTATTAGTGTATATTGTTATAATGATCCTATTTTGTTATTAGTGATTATTGTTAATTTCTTACTGTGCTTGGTTTATAAATTAAATTTTATCATAGACACATGGTTTTAGGCATCCCCTGGGGACCTCCAATCATATCCTCTGAAGATAAGAGAGACCACTGTATATACAGAGGGTGCCAAAAACTTTTTTTTTTTTTTTTTTTTT